GGATATCCTAATACATAATATAAAACTCTAGTAGATAATATTGGGATTAAACATTTCACTCTCGGTAATAAAATGGGATGTTTTGAACCAAAATATTTTGGTCTTTGCCCTTGCACAGGGAATTTCTGCATGGCCCTTTGGTCTGGGTAGAAACTCCCAAATGTCTGATTTCCCTATGGAAAATTCTTCTTTTCACTTGCTTCCTTTTGATCTTCCCTCCCCGCTCTCCTTGGTCCCCGAGGAGTCCCCCAGTGACCTGTGTTGGAAGGAGAAGAGCAGAGGCATAGGCCCCTGGCCTTCTCCTTCATTTCAAATCCCWTTTTTCTATGAAACGGTTACAGTCTTAAATTAAGCCATTTCTCTGCAGCAGCTAAGGAATAGCCCATCAGTTTGATGTGGGAGAGAGCAAAAGAGGAGGATTAGCTCCAAACAGGCTGAGCTAAGGCTTATGCACCTGTGTGGACCATGCCAAATTTCTCTTCCTTCCATATCTAAAAAGACTAGGACGGACACAGCACAGGTGTCACAGTGCAGGTCACAACTTAATTGAGAGACTATCTCATAGATCCTCTCCTTTCCACACACATTGAGGCAGACAGGCTCTCCCACCCAATGCATTAAGTTGTGATCATGCAGAGCTGTTTGCACCCTGCTTGTAGCCAAACTACAGCTTCCTGGCTCAAGTTAGGAATAAACTGTGCCAGGAGAATCTCAGCCCCAGAGCAACAAAATGCTGAGGAGGGGCAGAATTAACCTCTGCACACAACAGCTCTGCCTGGTCCCTGGGATGCTGGGCTCAGTGGGACCTGTTGTCCCTTACAAACACCTCTCCCGAGGAGGGACAGGCCCAGGACACGCTGGGTGCCCTTCCAAACCTGCCTGCAGCAGCTTCAGCCTCTGTACCATAAGCCCCTGASCTCGAACAAGCAATTGGCTGATATCTGCAGGGCACCCGAAAAATAGGAAACAGAGCTGGAGGAAGTGCACTGACCTCCTCAGCCCATCCACCTCTGCTTTACAGGGGTGCTCACGGCACATGACCCACCAAATCCCACTGTTCATCTGGGCAAAGCCTGCCTATGCCCAGTCAACACCCAGCAGCAAAGCCCGATTCTGCAGCCTTYGCATGCCGAGCTGCAGGTCACGCGTGTGCAGCACAGGCCCTCCAGGAGGACTTGGTCACAGCAAGACCCCAGTGACAGATACTGGTGCTCAGGACCATGCCCACACTCATGTTGCACCATGCGTAGCCCACCCCTGGTGCTGCGTCCTCCAGCAGCCACCCAAACAACAACCAGCTCCTGGGTTCTCAGGGGCTGCAGGAGCCACCAAGCACCTCCTAACCCCCGAGAGGAAAACCAGCCAGCCCCATAACTAGCCCATAGTCTAAAACCAAAACTCACTTTCCTTGGGGAAAATCCAAAGTACCTCTCTCTGTCTAGCAGTCCTGACTTCTTTRGGTGACTAAGGGGAAAGGCTGCCAGAGAAGGAGAGTGCTCCTTTCTTGCCACACAAGAAAGGAGCAGAGGTCACACCCATGAGTGACCCAAAGCCGAGCAGCAGCTGGGAAAACCTGAGTTTAAACCACTTCACAGGTGTCTCCTTCACTCCCCCAAATCCAATTCACAGTTTTTCATCTCAAATTGCAAATCACCAACACATGCTGGTCAGGCCCTTTGGCTCCTTCAGCACCTCTTCCCTCCTCGCTGAGCTGAAGGGATCAGTGGCACAGTTTTGTGCTGGCAATAATCTGACTTGTTCCTCTGGTGCAATGTCTCCTATTTTGCCGTGATCCCTTACAGATGCTGTGACATACGCACCCAACTCAAAGAATGCACACGCAGGAGCTGCCAGATTTAGAGAAGCTCACTGGGATTTTGTTCTCTTTTAAAATGCTGGTCACTCTCCAAACACCAGAGCCCTTCTCTGGCACGCTAAGGAAAAGCAGCACTGCAACAGATGCACTTCTATTGCTTGAATATTCTTACACTGAAATTTAGAGCTCGAAGATGAGATCCCAATTGGTAATTTCAAGTAATGACCTTAACAGGACTCCAGTTAATAGGGCAGGACTCCAACTAACATTTCTTAGAATTAATCAAACAATAAAAAAGCCTCCGATAAGAAAAGAGCTGCAGAAATCTATTATGCACCGATGCCATCTACTGGGTGCAAACAAAAATAGCACAAAAGCCCCAGGAAGAGAAAAAGAGCCCTAAGGGAAGCGCAGAATGGAGGCAGGAGAGCTGTCCTCCTCCACAAGGGATAGGAGCAGTAGGAACCCCATCCCAGCCTCTCCGCAAGGGAATCTCTGGGCCCTCGTAAGAAGCCGCAGTGATGAGATGAGATTTCAGAGGCTGCATTTCCTCCCCTTTCCTGGTGACCCGAAGAGGCTTTGGGTCTTCCAGTTTTGGATTTTAACCAAGCAAAGCTGTGTGCTCCTTCCTCCTTTGTAAGCCCAAGGAGATTGACCTAAGAGGGACTTAAACAATGTCTGTAAGCAATTGCCCTCAACATTTTAAACAAGTCCTTTTAAGGCCAAGCAATTAGGTAATGGCAGAGACCACATTGCTAAAAAGCCTCAAGATAAATGCAGCCTCAATCCCTGCAGAATTACTGGAAGCTGTATTAGGGGCACTAAGGAACTGGTAACAGATGATGATTATACATAAAAGGAATAAGAAATCTTTGAGATTTGTGCTGCTCCCCGGTTGAGCAGCGAGGCCTCAGCTCTGGTGTGTATTAATTGCTTACAAGGCTGCATGTATATTTTATGCTCAGTACCTGCCTAGAACATTTGTTGGATTTAGCCTTGATTGATGAACCGCTGATTATATACTTCTGTGGTTCTCAGCAAATTAATAAACTCTTGACTGGTTAAGATTAACAACATGTCATGATTTGAGAAACAGTGTCCTGAGTAAAGCTGAAACGAACCTCGTGCTAAAATTAGTACGTGAATGCTCCCTGAACTCTATAAAAAGGGGATAGCTTAATTAAATTACATCCCAATATTGCCTATAGCACTTACCAAATTGGCAAATTGAGTTCACAGCAGTTCAGCTTTAAAACATAGCTGACATCTCTGCAAAATTGCAGGGAATGGGTCCCATCCCTCCTTGCACTGCAGAGACAGCTCACACCCCAGCAGACTTCAACATAAGGGGCAGGACAGGGAAAAGGAAAACTGCCAAGTTCCCCTATCCAGGAGGACCCGAGGCAGGAGGTGAAGCAAGGTCACCAGAGATGCCACTCAGTGCTGGGAAGAGCATAACCCACCGCTTGCATAGGAAGGTGGTGGCTGGCACTAATTGTCTATGTTTCTGTCCACTTTTTCCTAGGCCACAGCAATGGCTTAGGGAAGCCCGCAGTTCAGACGGACTTTTGGTCTGACCACTGCGGCTCGACGGTCTCGTGGATGCAGCGAGTCCCGGCGACCTGCACCAGCATTTCCCACGGATGTGCACCAGCATTTCCCACGGATGTGCACCAGCACATGCCACCAGAGAGGTGCAGGAGGGTGCGGGGACGTCAAACAGCGTCAGGCAAGCTCTGACCCCAGAGCTGCTGTTCTCAGTGCTGCAGCAGCTGCAGGCATCTCGGGGAGCAGGATGTGCTCCATGGTGCTTGCTCACTCCAGTTCCGTCCTTCCCTCCCCAGCCTTCATGCTGCCTGTGTTTTGTTCCCTTTAAATAAAGCCTCATTTAGCCATTATAGAAAAGGGGGGGAAAGAGGGGGTTGCATTTTCCCTGAGTGACACAGTTTTCAATTTCTGCTGCTCTGTGCACCACTGTGGCAAACGCTAGGCCTGTAATTTATTGACAATTTCTATCTTAATATATCTTGACTTTTAAAAAGAGGCGTCTCTTCCCAGCAGCACAGGGCAATCAGGGCCCCGATTGTTTCTGACAGTATCTGGGAGGCACATTAGCTTTCAGAACAAAATAGCACTAAAAAAGAACAAAAAAGAAAGAAGAATGGGGGAGTGGGGGGGGAACACACAACCAAAACCCAACAAAGAAACAGCCCCTCCCTGGAAAAGGCCAGAATGAAAGAAAAGGAAAAGGAAAGCACAAAAGAGAGAAAGYGGGAAGGGCTGGGGCGAGCTGCAGGGCTGCTGTACCCGCTGCCTGCGCCACATCAGGCTGTCGCGCTAAGTGGCCTTAACAAGCAATCGGAGAAGGGGATAATGAAAAAGCCACCCTGGAGACGGTGCCACTCCAGCCTGACCTTTCCAGGCTGCCGTGTATAAACATCTTCAATAAATAAAGAGACACTTAACTCCTGCCTCTGCAGAGCTGCAGGAGGGAAGGGGTGGCCAGGGATACAGCCTTGGTGAGGAATGAAGCTTGGGAGGAGAAGGGGAGTTGCCTTGGGGGGGTTAGGATCACAGTGCGTGTGTTTGCATGCAAAGCACAGGTCGGTGTTTTAACACAGTCCACATGGTGCAGATACCCTGGCACATGATAGCATATGTGGGTATGGAAATATGACCATATAGAAATGTTGGGTGTGCAGGYGAGGGTCAGCAGGGACAACCTGTGCCTCTGACCGGGACAAGTGCTCTGTAGTCTGAGAGGCCTTCTGATGGGTGAAAGCAAAGCCTGGGAAGCAGGAGGTTGCCTGGCAGGACAGGAGTGTGCTCTGAAATGAACTGAACCCCTGCGGGTTGCAGAGGGGGACTGTGGAGAAGTGGGTGGGTGCTGCACTGGAGCTGGGACGCACAAGGCAGCAGCAGAATGGAGACTGTTCTCAGGCTGTGCTGCTCTGAGAGGCCGGAGAGCAGCTGTAAGCACCYTCCCCTGCTTGTCTTTTACACATCTAAGCCCAAGTGAATAGGGCTGAGCAATTGCTTGCCCGGTCACGGGTCCTTCCTTGCCTTAGTGCAAACTTCTCCCATATGATTTGCAGTGGAGAGCACAGGGAGGCAGCGAGTCCCCAGCAGCGCGCCCAGCCCGAGCCCCCAGCAGGAGCATCACCCTCCACCGCCAAGTACCTACCACGCAGCCCGTGGAGTCCACTTGGCGATCCGAAACGCACTTGAAATTGCGRGTGCAGCCGCCGTTGTTGCGGGAACAGTCTCGGACTGGCCCAAAGGAGGAGAGCAAATCATTGATGGTTTCAAAGTAGGTAGACAGCATCGCTTCTTCCCTTGGAGAGAAAAGGCACCATTAGAGACAGGAAGGGGGAAAGAAAGGCAGGCAACAGGGCATGCACAGTGCCGAAATTCTGCCGCACGGGGCACTTTGATTAGCAATAAACTTTGTTAAAAGGAGTTGCCCCAAAGCATGAAGGCTTTCTGAGTATGGCTGCATAAGTGGCTGCAAATTGACATCTCTTTTTATGCGTTTTTCTCTGTTTGCAGCCACGTTTTACATGGCTGCAAATTTGACATCTCTGATGGAAATCAACCAGGGATACTGACTTTCTACCATTTTCATGCAGACATACAACTGAAAGATGACCTGGATTTGTGGAGGAATTCAAAACTATGCTATATATCATGGAATCCAAAAAGCTAAATTATGGATGATTGCTTTCATTATGAATGTCTTAGAGATAAATAAGCCTTCTGTGWGCACACGCAGCTTGTCCCATGCCTGGGGTTGCCGCTCAGGATGTAAAGCCACAAGAAACTTGGCTTCATTTACTGGGGTGTGGAAACTGGAAGCTTAAATCTGTGCTTGATTCAAGGTGATGAAGGACCCTGGACCAGAGGATACAAGGGAGGATCTGAATCCAGCTCTCCCCTCAGCTGAGCCCATGCCCCCTTGCAGCACAACTGTGCAGTGCTGAACTCCTGCAGCTTGAGACAGCTTTGGAAACTTTAATGCCCTATGCACATTTTCAAAGGTTCTTCTTAAGCAAATGAGAAGCAAAAATGCCCATGAGCTCGGTGGATATTTAAAGACCGGAGAAACTCTCTGAGCTGCCCCTCCAAGCTGCACACGCAGCAGATTTTGCCTTTGACACAGTACTGAGGTGCTTGCTGCCTGCCGAATTCCTGCAAAGGGGACACAGAGGCTTCTCGAGAGCTTTAAGCACCTCTRAGGTAGTTTCTATCTTCAGAGCACATTTTATATATTAAGAGGTTGCTGCAACTCACCCTAGGCACCAGATCSAATCACTCTCTTAGAGGCAGCAATGGAGGCACAAGCGATTTGCCCAAGGTCACAGAGCAGCGACGGAGATAGACTTGACCTGCACCACCTATTTGTTAGATCTTCATGAACATGAAACTGGAAATAATCACCGCCTACGGAGATGATGCCCTGAGCTACACTGTGGTTTTTCCTTGCTCTCCAGCATTTCCTCACAGCCGTACCTAAAAAGTTCAAGGCCCATTGCTCCTCTCCATTTCTTCTTTTTTTTTTTTTTATTTGTTTATAACCACCAACCCATGTGCTGGTGCTGTGCTGCAATAAAACAGCAGCAGAGGAAAGCCAAGTAGTGCTGGAGACCACAGTGCGGCTCTCCAGAACCGGYGCCACGAGAGACAGCAGCGGAGGGACCCGGGCACGCGCATCCACACACGCTCACCCTCGTGCAGTGCTGCCAACACTGAGCGTTCAAAAAATCATGAGTCAGCCATTAAGAAGAAATATAATGAGATTGGCGCAAAACTGATGAGATTTTAAAAATCAATCAATCATTCGGAGGGTTTTTTCTTTCTTTTTTTTTTTTTTTTTTAAATTCGCCTTCTGCTGTCTGAGCCTTTAGGGCACACTGGAGCTTTTCTCCGCAAGCTTGGGGGCTAGAAACTACAAAAAGGAGCAAACCCAGAGCAATGAAGCTCTGCACAGGTCTAGGTCTAAATTACAGATTTTCAGGCAACCCCAGGGCTCCAGTAACTGCGATTTCCAAAAGACAAAATACTGCAAAGCCAGCGGCAGCGACGAGGCTGGTACCTCAAGGTACCACTTTCAGCCCCGAGCTCCTGCCTATGCCACATGCTCCCACCCCAATTACCACTTCCCAATTAACTCTTGCCCCTGGGTAATTGTTGTAGAGCAATTCCCCTCTTCTTGGCCCATCTCCTAGATTTCCCAGTGTATTTGAAGCTGAATCTCCCTCTGTCCTTTCCTGGTCGTGCTTCAAATACCTTTAGAGGCCTTTTCTATTAGTGCTCTGTTCCCACTAGAATTTGCAGCTCCTCCAGAGCGAGGGAGTGAGAAAGACAGAATATATTAGATCAGGGCACATATTTTTTCTGCTGGAGAGAGGGGAAGAACATATTATTTACTCGCCCCAAAGTGCTGTTCATTAAGGTGGAGAGAATTGCTTAGAGGAATGTGACGACTCCTCTGCCGCCAGCCCRTGATGTCCAGCCCCGTCTGCTGCTGCTCCTGGTGGAGCGGACATGCCCGGAGGCTGGGAAGGAGGGGAAAAGCACCAGGGATGGAACCTCCCTGGGCAAACCTGTGCCGGGACCATGGATCACCGCTGGCTAAACACAGACGGGTGCCAACATGCCCGAGTGAGCCATTAGGGCGCATTAAAATTAAGGTGCTTCAGAGTTACCATATGGGAACTGAACACTGAGCCACCCAGTCCCAGCGCTGCCCTTTGAGAGGAGACAGCGCTGGCAATTTGGGGACACTTTAGGAGATCCGAGCATCCCTGGTGGCCATCTGTCAGAGGAAGCCATCCCCTGCCCGCCCTCCCTCCTCAGCAACACGAGATTAGGACAGGCCTGATACATGAATCACTTTCCCCGCAGTAATGAGCTGCCTTCAAAAGAACATCTATTTTCCTTGTTCTACATTTATCTGTATTGAATTTCATCAAGTGACCCCTGGATCTGTTCTGACAAGGCGAAATAAAGAAGTCGGACTTCCCATCAGTGCCGTGCCTTGAGCATCCCGGCAACCTGGAGGAGATTCCCCGCGGCCCGCGGGCCTGCATCGCCCCACGTGCACCCAGGCGAGGTGCCCAGGGGTCCCGACTATTCCCACCTGCCCCAGGGATGGAGGCAGGCAGCGAGTGCTAGGTCTTGTTGAAAAGGGCASTTTGGATCAGGGTTAATTTCTGGTGCTCCATTCGCCCACAGTCACACACACAGAGCACACCCAGCCCCTGCCATTTGCTACCGCCTGCAGTTGCCTCTATTCACTTGCAAATATTTTCCCTTCCACCTCCYCACCACTCTCCATCCTCCCCTCGCCTTTGTTCCAGGCCTTCATTAATGAAGTAGATTCAGTGACAAATATTGCTGGGGGTTATTTATTCATGAAATATCAACACCATGCAATTCTCAAAGCCTCCAAAGCACTCATCTCAGAATAAGCTCCTCAGCTTCACCGGGCTCTTCTCCTGTGCTCCTAGAAGGGGATTAAGGGGTGTTATTAAACTCAGCTGCCYGATTTTATTGTCTGCTAATGGTTTAAGACTTCAGGGTCCTACAAGGCTAAGTTGCACTGAGAAAAACAAGGAAGAAGCAGATGCAAGCTTGGACGGAGTTAGTGGCTGTCTATGGGGTGAGTCTAGGAGGGGATCAAGCTGCAGACTTGGGGTTCATGGGTGTTCAGAGACAGATCCTGCTAGCAGTGGATGGCAGGATGCAGTGTCATCTGAAAAGCAATGACAGGGAGGGAGCAGGGACCCCAAAGCACCCTGCTTGCTTCTCCCGCAGCTCAGCCTGCCCTGGACACGCTTGGCCCTAGCTTGTTAGGGGACACGCGTATAACCCGCTGACCGTCCTCCTGCGTTGCCCTCCTGTGTCTCCTCCAGCAGCTGCAGGAGAGGGCACGATTCAGCGTCCTGGATCGCTCCGTGTCCCACTGCCTTCCTGCACCTCTCCCTTCCCTCAGCTGGGATTAGGCCACACACGCTGCTCCTACGCTACTCAGAGGGGACCTCAGAGCTGGTGCCAATAGGTTTGCACCGATAGGYGGGAATTTACAACCATATTCCACATTTTTCAGCCCAAGAGCTGAGAAAGATGGATCCTGATCCTAGCGGTCCACCTTATCAGGGGCCTCCAAACGGACACCTGGGCCTCCAGCAGCTGCAGCCACTGGCCATCCAGCGGCACTTTATTCCTCTCCCAGCAAACACTGTCTCTCCCAGCACCACCTATGCTCTCACCAACTGCACTTCTTCCTTTTCTCTTTCCCCTCACGTCTCTGTCTTCCCACTGCCAACCCCGTTTTCCTCTAAATACGGCCAGCACTGAAATCATGAGCRAGGGCACTGAACTCAGCGAGTTTTGGAGCAAACCACTCTGAGGTATTAACGGGATTGGGAGAAGCCAGACATCTAAGAGCTGTCTCGCTTGGCTCTGGGCTGCCTTTTCCTTTGCTTGCACTCCTGTGGGACGGAAACTTCTTTGTCATCCACAAATTGCCAACACTCAGCTCCAGTYGTTGTGGTAAAACCCTCCTTACGTCATGTGGCAGCACACGGGGACACACAGGCCCATTCCTGAGGATGCTGCACACCCAGGATGGGGAACGAGGGCATCTTCCATCACTTATTTTACCCTAGTGCCCAGTGACCGGTCTCGTGCTTACTGCAGCCCTGCACTCCAGCTCTGTACACATGACATGTTACCTGCTTTGTACCAAAGATGGGAGAACTAAGACATAAGGATTAAAGGCGTTYGGGAGGTGCTTTCGAAGTCATCTCGGTGCTTTTAGCCCTTCACGTGCCATGGAGCAAGTCCAGTTGAGTTTAATTGCAGCACAGATTCAGCTGCTCTGTGGAAAGGGCTGTGAAGTTAAAACCCCTCAATTATGATCAATGTGCAGCAAATGGTCACCTGAGAAAAGTGATCTCCAATTTAAAAGCAATGGGATATGTTTTCTCCAARACTTATATCTTATTTTTTTTCCCCTTGCCAGCAACAAGAGCCCATTCTTTCCGCAGCCTCTCCTCTCTCCACCGCGCTGTTTACAGCGCCTGCAACAAATGAAGCAATCATCTCCTTCGGCACAAAGACGCGATTTATCGCCCGAGCTGGTACATCTGCGCGCTGAGGAAAGCCAGGGCCTCGGGGATGAAGCAGCCTCGAAATCAGCTTCTCGGGATGCACCAACTCATGGGCAGACTGAGGCTACGGGGCAGCCTTCGTGCCCAGGGCAACTTCCAGCTTTGGGGCTCCCAAACCTCGGCACACTGGAATTCACATCCTGGACTGCTTCTCTTGACACCACACACGAAGATGGACTGG